CAAAAACATCCTAAAGAAGACAACAACTAATAGCAACAACAGAAACAGAAACAGACAGCACAGCACAGCAGGCAGCAATTTGTTTTACAAATTTTGTATTATTCCCATGCTGTCTTGGCTTTCTTGCTCTCTGCTGCTAGCTGCTGATTTTCGTCATTGTCATTACCGTTCTCATTATTGTTGTTGTTTTTGTCGTGGTTGCTGCTGATCGCTTTCTTCGTGTTAAAATGTTGTGTTTAACATTCAAAGCAGCAGCTGCTGCTGCTCAACCTAGGAAAGTGTTGCTGCATCGTTGAAAACCAATTTGTTATTGCACTTNAAAAAAAGGCCATAAAGAACTACGCGAAATATCAGCATAATGTGGTTCAACTGGTCACTGGGGCACTGACGCTTTTACGCGAATAACAAAGACGATCGTAAGAAAACAACAACAATAGCATTTGCAGCACCAGCGTCAACGACTTACTACAAATTGGAATGCGCCAGCTAGGAAGGAAGGAAGGTATACAAAAGCGCAATGCGGCGCTTAACAGCCAACCGATTGCAAACAAGTGCGGCCGAAAGGGGAATGGGCGCCAAGCGGCCAACAAAACCAACAACGATAACAATCAGAATGAAATATGTGTTAAACGCCACGACCGGCAATTGCCGTCATTGAAATCACCCACAAATGGCGAGAACAGCACAATAAGTGCGACAATCAACTGACGTGCGCGCAGCAGGGCCACCGCGAGCAACAGTAGCAACAACAACAGTGCAGTGCCGCCAGTGCCGTGGAGTGGCGGCAGCAACCGAATTGGCGCAAGACAAAGGCGACGCGGCCGCACTCAGCTGACTGACAACAAGGGCACGGCAACAACAGCAACAGTAACAGTAAAGCTCCAAACGGCAAACGGCAAGCACGAGTAGCATGCAAATTACCTGCTGACCTGACTTCAACCAGTCCAAAAAAACACTAACAATAATGGTGCTACATATATCGCATCAAATAAACGAAAGCTAAGTTTTGCACAACAAATGAATTTGCCGAAGCAGTCACTGGAAAACTATAACAAGTTGAGAGTAAAAGCGCGGCAAATGGCGCCTGTGCTTGCTGAGCCCGCCGACTGAGACTGAAGCTGTAGCTGTAGCTGTTGCTGAAGTGGAGGCGTAAACAATATTAGTTAGGTTTGCTTGAAAGTGGAAAATTCTGTAACTTTAGGTTATTGAATGTGCATGCCTTTGGTTTCTTTGTGGTTGTTGCTGTCATTTGCAACCTTCTGTGCTCTGCTAACTGTCAATGTGAAGACTTTTGATGAACGCGACTATTCATGCTGCTGCTGCTCTATTGACCGGTATTGCCCTTTTCAGCATTCTGACCTGCCTTGTTTTTTTTTCAACTGCGAAATCATTTGGAAACCTAATTTAATTGGTCACTCAGCCATTCTATCGGTATTCGGATGAGTTTCCCGGTGATGGGCTAAAAATGATAGTGACATTCATACTGCTGTTGACAGCTTCGACAATTAGCGGCTAGATGATCATGACAAAACAGTATCTGCATGGCTACAGTTCAGGACTAAGAGAAACATGCCACCTTGGATGCAAAGGATTGAAAGTTGGTTAATCTGATGCCTGGGATTTGTTGTGATATAATTGGCCTATAGCATTTTCACGGACACTGTATTTGAGTGGTCAGATGTGCGTCCTACCACTCCGTAGGACCAAGGCTGGATCCCTGGTGAAAGCAATGCCACAAAAAATTACATAAATTGGCAATGGGTTCCTCCATTTGTGTAACAATATCAAGACGCGCACAGCAAATTGGAGAGAAGCTCGGTCAAACACTTAGCAAAAGTGTAAGCACAAACATATTCTTATTTTCAAAGGAAGTGAAAATAGTAGGAACACTACTTTGCGTCCACGTACTTGGATTTAGTTTCGTTTCGAGTCTTCTGTTCAGGAATAAATCCAAGAAATATTATATTACTGCAACCCTCATATTTCAACGCCAAAGCTTGATGGACGTGCAATCCGAGGGAACCTATGGCAATCGTTTAAATTGCTAAATGGTGAGTTCCGGACCTCACGTTAAAACCCATGGGGTCATCACATAGGGCTTTTAGAAACGCAAAACGCCCCCATGAGCATGGCTGCTGAAGTTCTTTCGAAGCAGAAGTGGAG